ATTCTTTAAGAACCGGAGGGATCCATAAATTTTGTTCCGCGCCGCCGCCGACACGAACGTCGCCTCGTAAAGTTGCATGTTTCCCGCATCCATTGCTAAACGGCTCCAAGCGCGTAGAATGGAATCCCTCTCCCCTCCTGTTCCGATAATATTTCTCGCACGCTCATATATATAAAATATCTAAGAATATGATACACCAATTGTAACTCTATCATGACGTCCGCGCGTCGCATATCGACGCGTGTAATTATAAATTTTCAACAATTTCTAACCGTAAATTCTCGATTTTTTCGCAAAGATGATTCATTTACACAAAATTCTTCTAAATAAACGAACTAATCTTACAGCAAAATATTTTTAAAAATCTATTTTATTAACTTTCAAGATTTTTCTGTGTTAGTTTCTTTGATATGATACACATTTTATGGATTTAAAAAGAAGTATTTCCATGATTAAGACAAGTGCTTTTATCTCATTTTACCATGTGTAAGATGATATAAAGGAGATACACCCTCTCACAAGATCGTTGAGGTCGTGCGTGCTGATGTGCTAAACTCGAGCGTGTAATGTGCGGAACTTGATTAGAAACCCGGAGAATAGACAAGCACGCGATCATCCCGAAACTAGTTAGATAGACGTCTGCCCATAGCTTATACAGATCAGGAGCGGGATGATGTCAAATCGCCTAATTCTCACTCGCGCTCAAAGTTTTTGATGACTGTCGGGAAAATGGTTTAATCGCGTTATTTCGCCTCTTGTAATTTTGCATTAAAAACAAAAATAAAAAAATATAAACGACACGTTCGTAAGGTTGTAACACGGTCGACTTTATGTTGTAGAACACACACATCCGAAGATTCCGAGAAATTTGTGTTCGACAAAAATTTGCATCAATTTTTTTTCGACGTATGAATTTTCCATGTGTATAAAGCCGTTGTAAACTATTCGCGCGACGATTTGTGTGATGCTAGACACGTGCCGCATGAAAAATACACGAGAATCAAGTTACGCGAGCGGCGGCGGCGGTGACGACGACGACACACTATTGCGCATTGAGTATTTTCCTCTAGCGTGCTAGACCCGGCCGCGCACATACAAGCCAGCTGAGAAATCCAGAAGCATGTCGGTGATGGTAGAACCGTTCCCCGAAGCGAACGCGAGAAGTTACAAATGTTATCCATGTTCCACGCTTCAAAACCTCAGCCTGGGGATATAAGGAGGTACTTTATTCGATAAAAAAGTCTGAAAGCGCAAAGGATGATCGTAATAATTCTTTGTTTTTTTTTTCCTTCTTACAATGTGCCTCATCTTCTTTATATTAAACTTTATTAAAATTACGCGCGATCGTTTCGCGCGCGAGAAATCGTTCCGGAATTAATTAGAATCGCACACACACGTGGTCGTAGAATGTTAAACGAATTTGGTTTTGTGGTTGAAAAACCTGATGGGTCTTCTCTTTTTTTTCCGTGAGAAGAGAGTGGCGTTGAATTTCACGAAGTGGTTCAGATGACACGGTTGTTTCGAGTTGTCGAAACGAAAACGTGAGAAGTTGTGAACATTCTTCCCTTCTCCCCTCCCACGATGAAGAATCTCGTTCACGGGTGTCGGCGGACTGCGCATGGATGAATGGAGTTCCTGCAGGTTTTCTCGACGAAGAGATCGATGAAGCCACGTCCAATCTGTCGATGCGCCTGAGCTACTTCCTGCGTGCATTCGCCCACCCTATTCTCGAGAGCGTACTTCATTTGCTGTGCGAGGGTAACGATAAAACTTCGCTTGTCTTCAGCTTGTCCCCGGTGAAAGCCGGAGAACACTGTTTTGTTTGTTTCTTTTTTTTTTTTTTTGAGACTACGCGCGATACGGTAATTTACGAAGAGCAACCGTCGTTTCCGGAAATAGATGTCGCACAACAGACCGGAAATGCGGCTTGTCGGCCCGGTTGTTTTAATAACTTTCGGACGTTATATAAAAGTTCCGTTCCGAGGACAGACAAATGCGACAATAGATTTGGAATTAAAACGCGTATAGTCGGATTTTTGTTTTTTTTTTTTTTACAGTCGCGCTCGTCCCTTAACCGCAGCTGGGCGTGAAAGCTGCTGCGCGTTTGTGCGAAACGTTACACCGCAAGCGCTTTGTTACGAGCTAGTCAAAACTGAACATGAAACAAGTGCCGAGTTATACATACCTTTCATGGAACATGAGCGGCTGTGTGCGTCTGATGTTTCTCTCTGTTCTCTCACGGATTTAATTGTTAGCGCGCTATCAAGTTTTGATAAAAATTCATATATTGATATACGATGAAGACAACGACGAGAAACAAACACGTGTGTGTGTGGTTTAGAAATTAGTTTTACTCACGGTTTTTCCGTGAAAATCCTAAAATGTTACGCGGAGGATCTCTTTGTACCATTTAACTTTCACGCGGCTATTCCATGTGTACGTTCGCGGGTGAAATGAGTCTTTTCCTCGCGGGAAAGAAAAGCGCGTCTTGTTTCAAAAAAATACATTAGAAAATAAAATTAAAAATAAAATTGCAGTTTCGTCAGAAAACACACACATGTGAGAAATTTTCGATACGGTTGATTCTCGTACGAAAAACTCTACTCGCGCTACGTGTATACGACCTACACGAATCATACTCAATGTTTTGCCAATTTCAATAAGTCACCGAGTAAAAACACAATAACAATTGTACAGTTCAATCAAATCAAATACACAACAACAAGTGTACAGTTCAATCAAATCAAATACACACGACACGTGATATGTAAAAGGGAGCATGATAGATTTGCGCACTACGTATATATATATATACGCGTGCATATCGTTTTTGATACAGAAACTGAAGTGATGTGTATGCAGAAAGCAAAATTAAAAAAAAAAAAAATCTATATGTATATATATGCCCGTTGCTTTGCGCGTTGAAAGCTGTTTCCAAAGTGTCGCGATGTAACTGCGTGACATTCAAAGTGAACTGTGCTGTTGACTAACACGTAAAAACAAATCTGCAAAAAAAAATACACGCGTTCAATAGCTGGTTTTATAACGTTATAGTCAGATATCGTTAGAAATAATAAAACAAGACAAATTTCTTATAAAATGCATATATCGTACATTAAGTGTGTTTTTTTCTCTTCACGAAAAAATCATCGTCACTCAAATTTCGCTTAAATTTATGTGTTACAGCGAGTAATTCTTTCTCTCTCATCTAGTCATTTACTATCTGTCTTTCTCTGTTGTGATATGGAGATTTGGTTGGCTGCATAAAAGACTAACGCACACGTACACACATTCGGAGAAAACAAAAAGCAAAAAGTTTTAAGTTTTATTTTACCGGCTACGTTAAAAAAAGAAAAAGAGCGTCTCTGTAAATGATTGGCTCGACCAACAATCAATGTGCGTGTTAAACGTACGTATCTCACTATCTTATGTCAAGAATAAATAACAACAAAATAACAAGAAGTCACATTCGAACTCACAGTCACTTGATTTATTTCTTTATCTTTTGCATTTTTTCTTTTTTGTATTTTTTCGTTAAAAATTATTATACAGCTTAATGTAACATTAAATAACAGCTTATAACATGTATACACATCTCTGTGTGTATGTGTCTGTATGTTGAGTCCTGCATCTGTGTTGCGTGTGTTTATGTTGATATATTAATATTGTAATTAATCGCTAATTAGAGCGATCAAAGTAATCCCAAAATATTTGACAATATCTCCTTATCAATATGCAATATACAACCTTCGATTAATCAGTAACCAAATAGATTTTACACTCGGCTAAACTCTCCGCTATACATAAATAAAGAGAGAGAGGCGTGTATCAATCACATGATTGTACAAACCAAACATTGATGACGATATATGTATATATATATATATATATATATATATGTATAATAAAAGCTCGCTACTTGATATTGTTAATTAAAAAAATTGCGAGTCAGCGCGTGAATTGTCACGCCGCTCGGGTCTCTGTGTGTATATATACCTAAATACTTCGAGCGCGGAGAATTTTGAAATATAATGGGTTACGAATGGTGATGGATGGAGGCCGAATCGAACAGCGCAATTTGTCTCGATTATCACAGCCACAGTGATACGCGATATCAGCCACTCCAATAGCGCAGTTCACGCCCAGAATTTTTATTGTTTACCAGTTATTGGTTAGTCGATACACAGATTTATGATTCTACTATAGCTTTGGTCATGTCTAGTCGCAAGCACTGATGTAAGATCTTGCAGGCTAGCACCAAGAGCACCGAGGTGGTGGGAGCCACTGGGAATACGCACACAGGCGATACCGCCGTCCGTGTGTGTGACGTCATGCACACGGACGGCGGTCTCGCTTGTGTGCGTATTCCCAGTGGCTCCCACCACCTCGGTGTTCTTGGTGCTAGCCTGCAAGATCTTACATCAGTGGTCGCAAGAGCGATCGCGTTACGATAACTCGACGAGATATTAAATACATCGTATAACTCGCGCGCGCGCTCGTCAAGAACAAACGTATCAACAAAGTGTATCTCTCTCTCTCTCTCTCTCTCTCTCTCTCTCTCTCTCTCTCTCTCTCTCTCTCTTTCTCTCTGAGAGGCAACAGTTTTCACTCGCGATAATTTAACGACTAAATTGTTTTTAGTCGGTACGCGCGCATCTGACGAAAATCGCGTTATACAAAATTGTTCGAGCGTTTAAGTAAACTCACTTTTCAAAGAAAACTATTAAGTTCTACATGTTTTTTTTTAAATATTATTATTCTCGCAATTCTGTGAAAAAGTAAACGATAATTTGAATAAAACCGCTCTGAAAATTGACGAAGATATATTTTCTTGCGATATAAATGCGGGTACGTTTTCGAGTGCCGGGCAGACTATATCGCCTTTAGAATAACGTTCCAAGACAACGCAGCCAACCGTCTCCGTTCTGCTTACTATTTCACCTACTATCTCTTATGTCAACGCCATATGGTAACACACACACACACACACACACACCCTCTCTCTCTCTCTCTCTCTCTCTTTCTTTCACACACGCGCACACACACACATTCTCTCTTTATCTCTTCTTTTCCTCCAACTCTTTCTTCGATTCTTATGTCCATTTGTGTCACGATGATACAAAAGTCCGTGCGATGTAACGGTCCAAGTGATAGTAACGGTTCGGACATTAATAGAACACTGTTTCTTTGTCATCGTCACGGTGCCCATCGTCGACTTGAGGCTTTCGCAGAACTTGAGGAACTTCCCCGTTGAGCCTTCATCTGAGCACCTGACCCGACCGAGCCAGAACGGCGGCAAGGAAGAATAGCGGCGAACTAGCGGCGCTCGCTCGGGCCACCCGTGCACCACTATGATGTAACTCGGCTAAACTTTCTCCTGAAACATCGTCAAATACACTCACAAGGAAACACTCGCGAATGTTCTTCCCCGAAATCGATAACCCTGTTCATACTTTTTGTTTTTATTGCAGCGGACGAATAAAAGAAAAAAAATACGCGCTTTCTTTGCGCCACAAGAAAGTTGCAAGTATAAAAAACAACGTTATGCCAAATTGTTATGTAAGAGATATTTAAATGATTATTAAAAAAGTAATTTGATGCTTTCGCGCGATGTATTGCGAGTAGAACTTGAAATTCGTATACTCGACCGTCCGTCATTCCTGTTGCGCGCGGATGGAACCGATTCTGAGGGTGCCCGTTTAACGCGAATACTCTCTCGTGTCATGCGAGTGTCCTCAGAACCGCGCGATTCTACTCCGTCCGCAGCGGAAATGCGGGAAGTCAGGCGGATACACCCGGTCCTCATTTCGAGTCCTAGTTTTACGTATAAAAATTTTGGAAAGTTATTTCCAGGTTGGAACTGCGTTGGTATTATTTTAGTACGCCGACGTTTTGTATACATTTCTGTTCTTATCAAAGTCACTTAATCAAAGTTTAATACAATGATGGTATCAAGCTTCTCTTAAACCCTGATGGGGTGAACTGGGATGTCCGCGGGGCGTCGATGTGACACTGGCGCGGTTCCAGCTCGAAAACTATTTTCGAGGAAAAGTATAGTATACAAGCGCTCTATTCGCAAAGAGAAGATAAACAAGATGAGACATGTGCTTCGGGATAAGACGAAGTATCTCTTAATTTAGTTACTTTAGAGTATATCGAAAGTCTCTTTCTCTCTCTCTTCAAATTTAGTAGCAAACAGTTGCGAACAGTTTCTCATCAAATAATAGCTTCGATCGTGTATACTGGTTATGTACACTTGTATACGCGTTCGTTGAACATTGACACACATAGTGTAAGCTCAGGCTTGATGTGAAGTAAATATGGAAAAGCATGTAATTAAATCCCGACTTGAGAACCTGTTACGCCACATATACTATATACGAGGTAGAGAGATAACACAATGACAGTTTACAAACTAATGCTCATTTGACTAACTAACTACTCGGTCTCATTCTCAACACGGGGCGATTTATACACAAAAAAATAGCAAAGTTCTTTCCGGACCAGATAAGAATATTCTACGAACTCAAGAGGTTTAATGCGAGATAAAAATTCCAATAGAGATTAGCTCGACAATGTATACAAAGTTGTACACAATATACAAGTTGCAACATCAAAGCTACTGTGTAAAGTTTGCTCGCGCAGTTAGAAAATTCTAACTTGTATATACTTGATAGTTTCGCCCGGCCAAAGTCTTACGCGAAAGCGTTTTAAGAGGATCCTTTGCAACAAGAGAGTTTCAAATCCCTTGGACTTTCTCACAAGAATCAAATACCAGAAGACATTTAGACGCATCCGCGCGCGCACGAATGTAAGTTCAACATAAATATTAAATGCTTCAAGAACACTTGAGTAATAATAAATAAATATAATTCGCAAATCTTTTTGGAACTCACTGTGTACCAAGAAAAAGTTAGTCACGTGCTCGCATACATATAATATTTATATCATATAAATATGTATAACATATAAATAAACTATGAAACTATGTGAACTTAATTCTCCGCGTACAAATATACAGAACATATTCGGAGGAGGGAGAAGATATATGTACAAAAATATTCTCACCGTTTAAAACGTGTACGTGAACCGTGGCGGGTTGATCCGGCATGGTGGTAAGCTGGCACGTGTAATTTCCGCTATCCGTAGGTCCGACTTTAGCTATGCTTAGAGTCGAATTGGCCCCCTCTTCCATTAGGTCCGTTTTTATGCTGCGCAACACATACACAACATATGTGTGATGACATTTTTGAGAGAACATTTCGTGTTTATCGGTAAAAAATTTTTCACATTTAGTTATTTCACACGGCGCGTATTGCGCAGGTGCAATTTGACGTTATAGTCGAAAGTAGCGCGAATTTCTGCAATCTCATCTCGTGCGCCAAGCTGTGTCAAAAACTCCGCGTAAAATCGAAAAAATTCTTACGTCAGTCCGTCACGATGACAAACTCGTCTGGAAAATACTTTAAACAAACTCGCTAATGCAATTGTGAACGCTTGTTGTGAAGCGAAGAAAAAAAAAAGAGATATCTCTTAAGGTTAACGAGAACTTCTCAATTTTACCCGCGTTTACTCTGCGTCTCACTTCTTTTCGTCTTAACTAATCGCCGACTCTCCATCACCACCGAGTCGTTTTTCTTTTTCATCTTTTTTTTTCCCCTTTATTTCTGCCCTCTCTCGTCGAGTCGCTCTCCCGCGCTCCATATATTCGCATGATTTTTCGTGCCAATTTTCTTACACGGAGACGACAAGTTAATTGCGAATCAAGCCGAGAATTATCGGCTTCCGTGAGAAAACAGTTGTTCCCGCTGGCGGGTAATAAACCCGATTAATAAGCTGCGAACTACCGAATAAATGTTTTGCGCAAAGTCAATGTAATATTAATAACAAATTTGTTTATCGCGATGAAAAATTGTTCTTTCACTTGGATGTTTCAGCGAATTCACTCGTTTATTCGGATACGTAACAATATGTTATGGTAATATTGTACAAAATGTATTGCTCGCGCTAATGTGATAATTAAATTTGGTTAAAGCGTGATTTTTCAATGTAATCATTTTTCGCGTGTAAATATGCAAAAATATTAAAGAGAAAGAGAGAAAGAGAGAGAAGAATAATATACAAGAAATCGCTTAAATCGACGATCGACAAGTTTAATTAAGAATTCAGTTCGTGCTGTCTTATATAACTGCCTGATTTAATTTGAATTGCAACCGCCGGTGGTTTTTCTTTTTCACGTCGCAAAATGTCACGATGTAGCTTTCACGACGCGATACGCGACCGCATGTTGCAACGATTGTTGTTTCCACAATCGTCTTTTCCATGTTTCTACAACGGTTCTAACGCCAAGTATTACAAGGAGGGAAAACCCGTTCTTGTAGTACAAGCTCTGATTTTCCTTTGCCGCTCTTCGCACAGAGACACGTTCTTATTTATGCCGGGTTGCGTGCCGCTGAAAGTGGAAACTCGCTGTGACCGAAAGAGATTTTGAATCGCGCCGAGCAAGCGAGACTTTAATCGAAAAAGTTCCTTCGCTCTGCAATTTGTCGCGTTCGTTACCTCCGGCCGGTTGAACACCGCCAGACGATCGTCCATTTATCCACGAGACGTTGCCGTCCATGCCTCCCGCAGCCGGCAACGTAAAGTATTGCAAAGAAGTCTCTTACAATTAGTCCGATACGCAGGCGTGATAAGACTCGCGACGCCGATGAAAATAACTAACACAAATAAGAACATCGTGTATATTTATTATTTACCCGAATTACACCGAATTGCAATACTTATTTCGAAGAAATGTGTGTTATAATTTTTCGAAACACTCGCTTTTATTTGTTTTTAATTTTTCGTAAATTTAATAAACATAAATATGTGAAAACCATGTTTTCTCTTTTTTTTTCGACTTTCACAACAACACACTCGTAAAAGTGTAAGTTATCGTTTCCGGTGTCTCGGTTGCACACTGACAGTACGCAATGCCACGTTACGCACAATCGAAATAACAATGATTAATCGTGTGGAACATTACTTTGATCGATGAATTTGTGCTGTTAATTCTCTGTATTAGCTATTTGTCCATTCGCGGCGCAATCAGCCAAAACGCGTATCGATACTATATAATACTAGCAATTTATCATTCAATCCGATGTGCCGACTCGACGAATGCTCTTTTTGCTGACGTACCGTGGGGGATGACGCATTTTTGATTCGTCAAAAAATTGAAGTTCAATAATTAGAAACGAATTCACCTGTTATTGTCTACGCGCCAGCAAAATAGAACCAAAAAAAAAAAAAAAAAAAAAGATCTGACAGAGAACTAAGTACATTCTACTTTTTATCTTATGTACCGACTCCGTGATTATGCGATAACACAAATATATATTCTGGCAACTTTTCTAGACCAGAAAAGTTCAAGGAAAAACATAAATGTAAACAAATAAGTTAATGTGTAACGTAAATAAATTTTTTGTATAAAGTATACACATCGAGTTAGATTAAATCCAAATGGCAAATAAATTAAGATAGTATCGTGTATACATAACATTGATTCGACGGTGCGGAAAATTCGATTTAACGCTGGTCAACTACGGGTACGCTTTGTGAATTACTATAGTTGTTGTAACCAGGGCTTTAATTACGATGCCGAATTTAATGTAATTTGACACTGCATAAAATGCTCTTCTCTCGTGTATTTCATTATTGTTAAAGATCCCAATGTAATTTAATGTATTAAATGCGATATTAAACGCAATAAATTCGCGTCGTATTGCTTTCAAAATAAATAGCATTTGCGTAACTAGTTTACCTATTATTCCTTGATGTGTATACACACACGGACATAGTTACATCATTTGTTCAGTAAAATTAATGCGAATGTTGTGTTTTATATAATTTGAGACGAGAATTAAAAATTTGATAGCGTGATGTGAAAGCGTATAATTCTAGCATTTTTGAATAAACAGTATCTGCGCGACGCGAGAAGAGCTTAGCCAGGCAAGTGTCACAAATAAATGGAAAATACGTATTATTAAAAGCGTAAAAGCATCAGCTACGCGTGGATAAATTACAGGATGTCAGGTCGACGCAAGGTGATTAATTAAATGAGAGAGTAAATTAAACGAGATAGCAATAATTCTCGCTCGCTCACCCCATTGCGCACATTGTTAAAAAGAATAAGGAATGCTGTGGCTTTACGCGCGACATGCGCACACACATTCTTTCTTACGCGAAAGAATGGGATGAAAAACGAAAATTTATAGAACGAGATCAGACAGATACACACACACACACACACAGTCGGGGATAATATCAACTCATACAACGAACATCGATGCTCTACATGATTGAGAAAATCGTCATATATGTGTGTACGTGTGTGTACAGTAACAAAAAAAATCAAACATGAATTACAAAAATAAAAAAGAATCTAAAAAACCATATAAACCCGATTTTTCAACTCACTTTAAAATAATTCAGTTTTTATTAATCGCGGTATAATATATAAAAAAAAAAAAAAACCGGTTCTAATTAATATTATAATGCATGCAGGATGGCACAATATTTGTCAGCTATGTTGTGTAGCGGTCGAGCAGATCGCAGAGGGACGTTATCCAACGTTCCGTTTCTCGCAACGAGATCTACGACCTCGTGTATGTACAGTCGTTCGTATGTACAGAAGCGCGCAACGCAAACTAATTTCATTTACTGTCCCGCCGTGTCTCACCAACGCCTAACTTTACTGTCAGAGCGCGGGCCCACAGAGAAGCGCGCCGGTCCCACGACCGAGAATCAACCCCTACGTACACCGACACCTTTCTCGTCGACACACCGCCGTTCCAACTCTCGCGGCTGGCTGTCATCAGCCAACGTGTATTCCGTATGAACACTCTAGCGGCACGTATTTTCGAATCCTTCGGGGCTTCTCATATTCTGGTCTTGGAAATCGCGCGTACCGAAAGGCGTATTGGATACGCACACTCGTCGGTTTCCATTAACATTTACATGTTACACACACAACGCACACAACGTACACACTCGGAATTATATATATATTTCACGAATATACGTTTACAATATTTTCCCAAACTTTTTCCTCTGTACGTAATATTTACAATATTTTAATTATTATTTACGTATTTATCTGTAAAAACAGAATAAAATAAAAAGTATATTGTGTTTTCACCATTATAATAAATAATAATAATAATAATAATAACTAAATATTCCTTCTATTTTTTATCGTATAATTTGTTGTTAAAAAAACAACGTATAGGTTTAATAACTTGTAACAGCGGTAAAACAAAAGAAATTTAAAGAACATTATTACAAATTTCGTTCTCTTGCAAACGTCAAAGTTTCCTCTTTCGCTTCAGTTTTGCAAAAGTGCAGCTGCGGATATAATTCAACGTGATAAGTCGCGCCATTTATCATACTTAACAAAACGATGTTGGACGAAAGAAAACGAGAAAAACACAAATACGTGACAATATATAAATGAGATAAAATTTTTTAATACGAGATTTTTTTTTGTTGCCCCGATTTCCGCGCAAAAATTTCAGATCTGAACGTAACATATACGACCGGTCGACTTTGGTCATTTCGCAAAATGAATTGTGCCCCGTTATATATCATTGACCTGCGATATCAAAACGAACTATATATTAACGAAGCTTAATACAAACGGCTTGTCGCTCTTGTCCTTTTTCTGATTTTTATTCCTGTTTTATTCGGTGCGACAGCTGAACGAGTCTCCCCGCTATTATACGAATTGCGAATAATGAATTTTTATGCTGCAGAATGAGTTCTTTCTATTCTACTGTTCCAGCCAACTTGCAGGAATCTATAATAAAATATAATCTCCGTGATAGGAGGAAGAGAGATGAGAGAAAGAAAGAGAGACAGAGCGAGCGAGATGTCATATTTTTTAACGTAGCGTAAAAAAACATCCTGATGAAAGGCAATGCAAAGAAAAAGAGTTATACGTGAGCGATCTATTGTATATTGGACTTTTCTCAGCCGGGTTTCCGCCCAATTGACACAGAATCTTTCCTCTTGCGCGTAAACTCTCGTCAAACAAGGAAAAGTTTCGTGAATTAATTACACTTTGTTCGCATAACCACGTCAAGTACGTCTCGACATTCGTATTATACATATTCTCATATTTGCCGTGAAGCGCGTTTCCTCCTCTAACTGAAACGACTTTGTGCAAGCACAAATTTCAAGTAATAGAGCTACCAAGTTTAAAAGACCTCTTTGCGCGGCTTTCAAAGCTTGCGCGTGCACGCGCGCGCGCGCGACCGTATTGCTGCGCGAGATGTGAAATAAAAAAGATGGATTGTGAATAATTTAAATGCGTAAACAAAGAAAAAACAAATAAAATGACTGAAAAAGTATTAGGGCGAGAAAGCGCCGACATTCTTCTCCCGGTTAAAAAAGAATGCAATATATTTAAAAACTCGAAGTCACCTGATGCCGCCTCTCGTCGTGTCGTTGTTCAAGACTCTGTTACCGTGGAGCCACTGGACGACGCTGTACTGCACCTGCATCGCTATGTGACGCACGACGCACAGTAGTTCGATAGTGCTGTCAGCCTCGTAGTACTTGTCTCGCAGCGGCTCGCCCAGGGCGTCCACTATTTGGACGGACGGTGCTGAAAAATTTGATAGAAACAGATTCGATAGAAATAAAAATAATATTCAATAAATATGAGAGACAGAGATAGAGATAGAGATAGATATATACATATAGAGAGAGAGAGAGAGAGAAAAGAGAAAAAAGAACAAAGACAGAGATGCGCGTAATTTTCACGGCAATTATATTGCGAAAAGTTTCTATTCTAGCAACACGAGATTTCGACACTGTTTGTTGAATTTATTGAGCTCGTCGTGACAATTTGCGCGTCATGAAATTTGACCATATACAGCAAGCGTGATATTGGATTACTGTAAGGAAAATCAAAGTGTAAAAAGTCTAATTCTTATATACATTGTAATTTATATTTGTGTGTGTATCTATAATTCTTATATTTTGTATGTGTATAATATTCAATTCTATTTGCGTGAATTTTGGATGTAACGGCGATAATCTCACAGCAGATTTGTCTGTTTGTGACTGTCGAGGTGACAAATGTTTACGACCGTTGTCTTGTTTGCGATGTTTGTNGATTGCCTGTTGATAATCCAACCGACGATTTTCAAACAGGGAAAACAGAAAGATGTCCTCGAAAACCGAGGTGATGAGCGAGAGGTCTTCGGTCGCCGGAGACAGAGAACTCGGAGCCGTTAATAGAGACAAGTCGCGCGAGCTATCGGAAGTGTGAAACCACTTAGTCGCGTGAGCTATCGGAAGTTGTGAAACCGCTTAATTGTTAACTTTAATTATAATAAATTCATTTTGTTCATCTTTACATATTAAATACTGAGAATTAATTCTTTCTATAACCAATAATACCACATTACATAGAATTCGACTACAAATATTTAACTTTATGGCCCAATAAATATCTCTCATATTGACGTCATTGGGTTGTCCACACGACCGCGCACCCAACACGCGATCGAGAGCCACCCCAATTCATTCGTATATCTCCATCGCCGTCTTTCTATTGGACTGGACCGTTTCCAACTAGCGCCACGATACCTATTCGATAGCTATATATCGCGGTCCGTGAAGTCCGGAGCGATGTACAAGCAGGCAGCGAAAGAAATCACGAAAAAGGGAAACGTTTTGGAGATAGATCAGAGTGCTCTCTCTTCCTGCTACGGCCTGTGCTACTCCCGACCTCATGAATACCGCGCGAAATGTAATCTCTCTCGCGCCCTCGCCCTTTTCTCTTTCCATGACTCTCTCTTTTCTCTTTTTTTGTATTATCCCATCTGAGGCACGTGCCGCACTTTATTTCGCGTGTTTTTTTTTTTTTTTAATTTTTTTTTCAAGGCGATACAAAATTTTTCCCGTTCCACAAGCTCGTACAGGGAAATATGTTATTCGCTTTTATTGTTCTCTTGGTTTTCTTTTTTTTTTTTTTTTGTCGTATAATCTGACATTAATTTGCAAATTTCGATGCGTTTTTGAAATTGGTATCTATTCGGATGATAAAAATAAGAGTGATAAGGAAAGAAGACTTTTTAGATAGGCGTATTCTCGTTTATTTATATGTGTTAACGCGTCCTGTGATATAAAAATAAAAAAAATAAAAAAAAAAAACAAAAACCACGCGCGAACTAAAATTGCCGGAAGGATCGACGACGGGAAAGACACGGGAAGACGGACGACAAATGGAAGTCGGGAAAGTAGAACTTGCGTATATACATCAAAATCTCGGAGCTACTTTATCTCGTGTGGTCTTAGTCTTCTCTTTGGTTTTTGGATTAAGTGTTAATCCGTTGTTTAACGCGTTCTAGCGAAGGCGATGATCCTGACATTTCTCGAGTGTGACCCAAAGACAAAATTAAATGTTTGTTTTACTTTGATTTTCTCTTCCTCGTCTTTGCTAATTAAACGCGCATTTCGGATCTGTGTAAATCGATTTGATATTACTCTACATCGATATAGCGCGAACATTCAAGATCTAATATTTAGTTTTCTTGTTTTCGTTTCGTTTATCACATTGAATAATTTATATTCGAGAAAAAGTAAACGTTCCAAGTTTAACCTTACTCGCGCGTTGTTACTATTTTATACCATAAAAACTAAAACTCAATTTTCTCGTATTTATATTGTTCCCATGTGTGTATTTCGCTCTGTGTTGTAAATATATAATCTTTCGATTATAGTTTTTTTTTCGGGCGCGCGCTCTTATCGCGCGATCGAAAGGTAACAGCGATAATCGATTGAAGCTTGCGACAATAGCTCGGGCACGGTGCATTCAAATCTCGGTACGTTAATTATCGTATACCATGCGCGATCCATCGAAAATACGCGATTGCAAGATTCGCGAAACAATAGACAATTGTGCTTGCTTGCAATTTAGCTTTCAAAGTTAAACAGATACAAAAACAAAGAATAGATTGGCCGGCGAGAATACGAGCGCGCGTGCGCGGTTCGACGATATATCGTTCTTTCAACGGCGTTTGACATTTCAAACCACGTTACAAACGATCTCATGAAAGCTTCCGCACAAAGGCGCCGGCAGTATGAAACAATTAAGCTTTAATTGTATGAATATCGAGTGTGATATCTCGATAATAGGAAGCGCAAAATAAATGGTCGCTAACGGTATAATAATATTGCTCGCCAACACCATCGACAAACAGCGATACAGCATCAAATTATGTACGTCCGCAGATTGCGCAACACTTTTCCAATGTGATCGACGCAAACATCACACACGTACACACACGCGCGCGCGCACACACACACACATACACACACAGAGGGATTACTTCGACAATTTTTAGTATAGAAGAATTATGGGAAAGAGACTGCTACGAGAATAAGAGCAAGAGACTTTAAACGCGGATAATCCTTTTGAACTCGCGTTAGAAGATTTTTCGTTATAACGTGAAGAAGCTACATCGTCTTATCCGATGGGAAGCTTACAATATAATCTCACATCGGCGAAAGCGCGTGGACCGAGAAAGAAGTGAAAGAGGAATTTCTTTGTTTCGATCCTTTTTCTCTTTTGTTGTAAGCTTGCGCGATTTTATGCGATTTGACGAAAGCAAAACCGGTACGATTTCCGGTTACGTTGTTATCTATATTACAGACGGATTTACTAGAATTTCTGATGCAGTGTTGCATCGTGTCTTGAGAGAGAGAGAGAGAGAGAGAGAGAGAGGGAGAGAATTCAGGTACATGTACATATTTTCTATGTATTTGAAATTCAACTTAAGAAATGCGATAGTAATTGTGTTAGTTCCAACGTTTTAGTAAGTACTTTCGAGATCGTTCAACAAACGTACTCGACATCTGCTTTTGTTCTCATTTCCTAATGCCGACTGCGTAATATTTCTACAGGCGCGATCTTGGTGTTCTTCTTCTCTGTTAGCTTTTAAAATTGCGCAATTTTCTTTTTTCCCCCCTCTCTCTTTATGTTTATTAAAATCTTTCTTATTTATTTGTCAATTTTCCGCTTCAAACGTCAAGTGTCATTCCGCTCTTCCATCTCTCTTTTATTTCTCTAAATAGCTCGACACATCTCGATTTCATTCCGCAGCGCGGAGATGAAGTTTCTCCGCGCTCTAAACTCCGCGCCGTTCTTCCAAGCCGAATCCTCATTCACCTCAATTATAGAGCACGTCGTTTTCAATTATCCTTTTAACTAAGCGATCTCTACCGTAAAAAAAAAAAAAAAAAAAAAAGAAGAAAGAAAAATAGCGCGAACAAAACCAATTTGTTCAATCGCTACAGCTTCGCGAGAAAAAAGCTAAATCAACTTTATTCAAAGAAAATACGTAACTAAAACCGCGTGGAAATTTTACCTTGTTTTTTTTTTTTTTTTTGCGGAGATACATTTTGTCGCTACACGTTGTCGTCATTATTACCGTTGCAACGTATGTACATGATGTCGACATCAGGCGGAAAGCCGTTGATTCACATTATCACTTACCGTTAATGTGTAGGTTGACATGAATGAACTTAGGTGGATGGGTGCTGATCTGACACTCATATTGACCCTCGTCGCTGCTGTTAACACGCTTGATACGCAGACGCCAGTTGTCCGGATACTGAAATTCGATGGTATATCTCGGATCACTCGTATACGTATGCTGACCCACTGTCAGCAGACTCATCTTCTCGCTACTCTCCTGTCGTCGCAACCAGGATACCTACACGAATAAAAAAACAAATATTTCTAAAAAAATGGTTTTCATATTTTTCACGTTTGAACAAGCACGTTTTGCAATTTAATGTTTTAAAATGGCAAATATTAACGCAAAAATATGCTACATAAATACGTAAGAAAAAAACATTTTAACATACAAAAATAAATAAAAAAAAACATAAATATAAATGTGTAATGTAGTCGAAACTGAAGTAATTACATGTACTGTGCAAAAATAACAAATAAATTATTTATTATAATTTTTATATACGCAAAACGCATAGGGTTCGTGAATGACTCAATGTTTAATAAAACAACGCGATTGAAAAGCGAAAGATTTCAAGTTCAAATTCCGGTCTAGTCTTTGTGTCAAACTGCATATATGATTCAATTTCACGTAGACTTGGTTTTTTTCTCAACGTCTGCGAGATTTATCGCAAAATTTACGCGTGTCGTTCTTCTTGATTTTTCGTCAATAGATAAAATAGTAAGCCAAGAATTAGGAAGCTTACATTATATACGGTCAGTTTTTAAGTCTCTTATTTAAAGGAGAGAATATAATCTTTAAAATTATTAGTTGAATTTATGAGAGAACGGACACAAGTATTAGCGTAGAAGGCCTGAACAGCTCAGACGGTTATATTTAAGAGAGCAATTGTGTGCGCCCAGAGAAAAGTAGCAGTTCGATTCACCCTTTACTGCCTGATTTTCTTTTTTTTTTTTACGCTGGATTTTCTTCAGCGCGCGGATAAATCCTTCAACTTTTACTACATTTTTCCCTCACGAAGGGGAACAACTTCACGAATATTTATCAAGTCAATTTCTTTGTATATTTAATAAACACCACACCTTGTATTTATCAAACACAAAGTTGGTTTTTTTTTAAAAGCAAAAAGTTACATAACATTAAATTAAACAATCAAAATTATAATGCAATATTTAATTTTCCATGATACTGATTGTTGTAGTGTATAAATTGCTGCTAGGTATGTAATAGGATATTATCTGTTCAAGCGCCAGAGAGAGAGATTCATGCGCGCATAACCGATATCTGACCGCATAATTTGTTCTATAGTTTGGGCCACGGATAATGCGGAAACGGCTTGTAACTATATTACGAGCAACATTGCGTTTCAAATGAACATAACAGTAATTGGAAATAATCCGTCATAATTATAACAGAAACTGCGAGAGAAATCGGACGGGCGATTAATTTTTTGACTAATTACTGCATTATTTCAAAGTCTGTCAGACGAAAGAAAAAACCACAATTTTTTACCGCATCAGCAAGAAGAAAAATAGTTACGCACGTTTGTGTTCGTCCTTAAAAATCTCTCATGTCTGATAAGTAAATTGTGACTACATGCTGGTACGAGTGTAATTACGGTAAAACCGATAAAAACTTTGTACGCATGAAAATCACACACACAAACGCGAAAATAGAATTAATCGAATTAGTGCCAATGAATTATTTTACGTGCAGATTATTACGATTGCAAATAATATTAGGTCAGACATTACGCGAATTTCTTCCTTAAATTTGTTCCTTGAAGTATAAAATATACGAATAGTCGCGCGGACCAGCAGATTAATCATAATAAGCTAACCGTAGCTTACCCGGGTCGTAATAAGGCAAAATATTCCGAGATTACTCCGTGAATTATTGCGCTATGAATTTGTAGCAATGATTAAAAGGATGTGGGCGACCAATTACGAGAGAGAGAGAGAGAGAAAGCGAGAGGAACGACGGGAGGAGTAAACAGAATGAGCGAGTATGCACTTCCGCGCTTACGGTTTTATCCTGCAGCAACGATATTCTACAATCGAGAGTGACACTAGCGCCGGCTTGCACCGTGATGTTGGAGCTTTCGCCTTCGAAGTGAGGACCCCATTTATGATCGTGATGATGTTGATGCTTGTTTAGAGTGCTGTGCGTATCAAAGATGTAGTTCAGCATTGGTGCATCCGTCGGCACGGATCGTTTCGCCGTCGTCGCTGATTTCGTGGAAATCGAATCCGTCGCCGGAGGCAGTTCTGTAACATATAAAAAATAATACGTCAATCGACGTATATATAGTATAAACAATGATTAACAAAAAAGAAATTGTTTTTTCCACTTTTTTTGATATTTTGAACAGCGGAACGCGTGAAATGCATATATCGCGCATATCCGTTATAATTGTCCATGATTGTTTACAACGTTTTTTATGTATATTTTCATATTACGCTCTGCTGAGTTTTTTTGCCGTTTTATTTTCTTTTTTTGCAATTCAACTCGTTTCCGATTGTAGATTGTAAATTTGCTTAATCGACTTGTTGATGATTTTCCCGGTTTAGACCGTATCGCTCAGATTATTGACACTTAACCAGCCTGCCAATAACAGCTAATATTGATGTAAATACACGCACGTCTGCAATTGCGTAATCAGGATACACACATCGTCTCCTTGAGCTGATATTCTCGTCGCTAATGTTATCGTTGCGTATCGAGTAAATTATATGTCCAACATTTTTCAACGGGATCAAGTTTCGTCTTATATTCCAATCTAATTTTAATTTAAAAAAATAATTATATGTATATATACTTATATGTATATAATGTTAAAATTACACACACATACAATGAGTGTATACGTGTATAACATTGTATGATTAGATGGATGTAAAATTCCAGATAATAAAAGCTGGTTTTGATGAGAATGGTTGAACCTTTGCACTGGAAATATAAATCCGAATACACGATTTTTGAGAGTTATCCGTATATTGTAGCAGCGCGGTAAATATGAGAAATCGAACGAAGGATGGTATATCGAAAAATTTGACATACTGAGTACAGACTTCTTCTTCTTCTTCTTCATAAGTCTCGTCACGTAACGCCAACAGAAGTTCCATTTGAGAATCCGCGGCGCGGACGTAAAGCCCGCTGCAGTCGATTGTTCTACGACCGAAGACGAATTGGAGCACTTGCGCAGGTAATCCTGACTTTCATCGAGTCAGCGATAGGTGAGCGTCGGAGTTCGCCCCGAACCACGACGAACTCCGGGCAACCTCCGGAAAGATTCTGGAATTCGCGGCATTGCGACAGAAGAAGAAAGAAATATATAGGAACGTAGAATCCCGCGCGACGAAGTCGCACGTCAAAAAGGATCAGTATGCCGCGGAGCGCAAAATGTTCTTTTCCGCGCGCGACTCTTCGTCGTCATCTCGTATCTCTAAAGCTTCCCCATTTCTTTTCTCTTTCTCTCCGTGCGTTCCGTTCTCTTCGCCGTTTGCCTACATCGGTCGCCTCTATACCTTCCTGGTTGCACCAATGCGTCAATTCTGTTCTCTCGATCGCAGAAATTTTTCCCTCGCTGGAGGGAAGAAAACCTGATCGGGAATTCCGGTGGTACTGCTGGAAGCGTGTCTCGGATACCGAGAAGAATCTATCTAGCGCCGTAACATACACACGTATTCTCTGTCTGTCTCTTTCTCTCTCTCTCTCTCTTTTTTTTATCTATCGCTCTCTTTCGTCTCTTTTTCTCTCGGCTATGTGAGGATCAGTATACACGCTGTATTGAAATTAATATCGGATTGAAAACTCTGCTTTTTGATACGAACGTGGTGTGAAGGAACGAATTCAGAGATATAACGCAATTTTCGTTTAAGCGCAGATTTTACACGTTCACGTGAAATATTCGTGTAATCATATCGGAGAACAATATAATACGCGACGAATAATTGAACGAAATACGCGCAATTGTTCAATTCTCTCTTCAAAAAATTCTAGCAACTCGTTCGGGTCTAAGCAACGAGACTTAGATAGAATAATTGACGTACAAAACAATACTCAAGGCACACAGCTGACAAAGCCGAAACGGAAACTGCGAAGTATCGTTAATCTCGGAGCGCGAATACAACGTAATTCTACTTTCGAAGTTCGGTATACGAATACTAAGCAGAAGAGAGATGACTGTGTCGGTATGTCGTTGGCACCAGCTGATTGCAACCATTTGTTGACAAGATGTACATTCTACAATCACGCTGAGATGCTAGATTACACAGAGTGACTAATTACGCAAATTTGTTCCATAAGATGCCAGAAGCGCAAAATGCGAGCGCGCGGAGGAAGTGCGAAGAATGCGCTTTCGGGAGCGGAGAGAGAAACATATCTGTATGTGTCTTATGTTTAGATGATTTATCTGTTGTGTGTATGTGTGTGTGTGCGTGTGTGTGTGTGTGATCTCTGTATTTTGAGCTCAAATCTGTGCTAGTAAAAATCATTTATTTATTAATCGTTTTACATATTTCTCTCAATCTCTCTTTCTTTCTATCTTTTTTCCAAACGAAATGTATTTACAACATCGCGGAAATATAAACAGATCTTACGATGAAACGTTTTGATCTATTTCACTTGGAAAACGTGCATATCGCGCGTTTTATTTATTTATTTTTTTTTTTTCAATCTTTGAATCGAGTTTGACAATGTCGTTATGAGATAACGATTTTCGACTTTTTATTTCACGATCGTTTTCCGATATTTCTTTAATTCTCATGTTCATTCGAAAACATAAAATAGAGAACGGAATGGGGTATTCCATTTGTGGACTTGCGGTGTAATCGTATGGTCTAAACCCCACGATAAATAATTCTGATTCGCCGCACAATCTACTAGTACGCTCATGTTTTATTCATGCCGAACGCGTGCGACGTGTAACGTGTTATATCGTCGTAGGTTCGGCGACATATACATACACGGGATCTATAGATTTTTACAAATTGTCTCATTCGCCACTTTTACAGTTAGCAATATTCTTAGTGCTTTCGCATCAATGAGCGAAGTCATCACATCGAACTGTTTCGCTGCAATCCCATATATTCTATCGAGAAAAACACCCCCGTAATAACACGATGTATTCAATGCATATTCTTGTTGAAAACCCCCTCCGTCGCGCGATGGAATATTTAATATTTAATAACTCTATATTTTATTTCTGGTTATCACAATCACACACACACACACACAAAATAAAATCACATAAACATGTGGTAACAGGTACTCAACCGAGAGTATGCTCCGTGAATGTGTGTGTGTGTGTGTGTGTGATATAAATATATTCGCGATAAAAGAAACATATAGCGCACGCATTATCTTACATTTTCGACTCGCGGGAGTTTGCATGCGGGGGTTTGCTCAAGCGGCCGATTTCTCCCGTAGAACCGATCGATTTATGACAAAACGTGCAGGTGCAACACACGATGCGGATACTATAAATTGCGAGAATTGCAGGTACATACGGATGGACTCACGGCAAACGTTTAGTTATATATTCGGGCAGTTCTCCCGTTGAGAGTGCTGCATATGTCATGCAGCCACGAACGCAAACGTGAATATTACGCGCCGTGTCAATGTATACTCTACGTCGTATCGATTTGAAGTAACAAGCAATTTGCATCCTTCGTTCTTTCTATGTATAATAAATGAAAAATAAACAAAAGAAATAGAGAGAGAAAGAGAAGGGAGTTTTTTTGTTTTAAGAATTACACGTTGTACAAAGTAAGCAATCGTGGAAGAGATTCAAACGGACCGACGCTGCTGGTTACCGTATCATTAACGAATACGTACGCATGAGCGCGCGTTCTCGGCGTGTTCAACATAGAAGGTACATTTACACGATGTATGCGGAAACGTGAAGTTACATTCCGCGATGCCAGCAACGCGCCACGACTAGCATCGATCTCTCTGGGAATTAATTGCGCACGTCGACGGCACCGATCGCTTTGTCACTTTCATGATTTGCGCTCACGTCGCGGTGCGCCGCGAGTAGATTAGAAATTCTGCACGCGTTTCAAACGTCCACACGGAGAAAACACTATGGATATCACTTCAGGAAATATAGTTGCCCCAACAAAATAGTAATGTTATTTTTCGCCCATGCGTACACTATGGTTGTAGAAACCATAGTTCTATGGAAATGACTTGTATGGTTGATCCAACATTAAT